ACCTCACCACTGTTCTGTGTTGTCCCGTCAGTAAAAAGAGGGTCTGCAGAGATGGGCACATCCAGCACATTTGGTGGACTTGCGGTTGCAGCTCACTTCCCAACCCTTGTCTTGTACCTGCTGTGCCCATCCGGCCACCCACCTGCCAACTAGGGTCTTGCAATCACCAAGCAGTACCACATGATCAGCTGAGGTTGCTCTGGCCTTAGTCGGCTTGGGGTTGGCCTATATTGGCGTTTTGAGTCGAAGCTTCAGGCAAGGGTCTGTCGTCTGTCCAGTGGGAAGGCAAGACGTGGAACTCCGGGGGTCCGTAGAGGCGTCCAGGCGTTGAGGCGCCGCCTCCTCTCCCCACGCATTCCCACCCAAGTCCCGACGTCAGCTCCAAGCTCTTACTAACGAGTCGTCTTCCTCTCTCCTAATCACCTAGACAATCATATTCCCTCAAACTCTATCAATTCCATATCTCCATTGTTGGCCTTGCTTCGTCCATCGAACCGTAATCTCATACCCATCCTCCTAGACTCTTCAGATCTTGTACGACGCTGACGCCCAGTCTTCCAAGAGCTTGTCACCTTCAGACCCCTCATTACCCCTCCATCCCTCCACAACACACCACACCTCACCGTCAACATGGTCGGCATCGGTCCCAAGCCGCCCCCAAGCCGCAAGGGTGAGTGCAGATTTTCAATGCTTTCTGTGTTTTTTTCTTTTCTGTCGAGAGCCGTCATATCCAAGATGGATTCTCGGTGGACCTCGTGCTGCCTTTTTGGCTGCTCTCTCAATTCGCCTGCCAACTTGACTGGGGCTTTGCGAGCATGCCACCACTCATTCGCGTATCATGCTTTGCACCCAATTGATTGGAATGATGACCTATCACAAGCTCATCATACAGGCTGGGGTCTGCTGGAGATTCAATCTTGATGCCAATCACATTCGTCATACTTCTTTGCGGCCCGAGGCGTGTATGCTAGCAGCATGGGAGCAAGCTTTCCAGCATACCATGTTGCAACACCATCCGGGGCGGGAGTTTTGGCCCAGCGCTTGTCACAATATCGGAATCAGTGGGCCTTAAACGTCAGATTTGCCGAAGATACTTCTGAGGTGCGCCCAGACGTCTTATCGAACCGTTATCCGCCTTGCACATTCACCGGCAACATCGTTCCTGCCCCTGTCATGGATGGACCTCCCCATATTCAGCCATCGGAGCCTTTCGCTTGAATTCACCAGAACGTGTCTCTCTCTGCATTTCGAAAAAGCTCCTTAGTCGACCTGAGATATAGAACGAAAGAGAAGACAATTACGAATTATCCCTACAAGGCTTCTTTCAGCGTTGTACTCACAACCTTCTTTCACCCTGCTGGGACTTTTACCCTTTACAGCACATTCCGTCCTGCACAACACGTCGTTTCCGACCAAAGAAACACCAGCAGCTCTCATTACAGCTTTCGTGCGCTCAATATGTACAGCATGTATACTGACCAGGATCGCAATCCAGGCTCGATGGCGGAGCTTCCCCAGGACCTGGTCCAGGAGATCCGTCACCTCGAAGAGATCCTCATCGTCAAGGCCTCGAAGCTTAAGGAGATCACCAACCACTTCGTCTCTGAGCTCGAGAAGGGTAAGTTGCATTCATTTGTCTTCCCGCTAAGAACTTCGTCTGACGAAACCAGGTCTTAGCGTCGAGGGCGGAAGCATTGTGAGTGATGAACAGAAACAGTACAAGCATGGAAAGAGAACATGGCTGACTTACTGACTTCCAGCCCATGAACCCGACCTGGGTCATGTCCTTCCCTGATGGCTATGAGACGGGTACTTATCTCGCTCTTGACATGGGCGGCACCAACCTGCGAGTTTGTGAGATCACCTTGACGGATAAGAAGTCCGAGTTCGATATTACGCAGTCCAAGTATCGCATGCCCGAAGAGCTCAAGACTGGTGTTTCTGAGGAGCTCTGGGAGTACATTGCAGACTGTCTCCAGCAGTTCATCGACACTCATCACCCTGAGCTCCCCAAGGACCAGAAGCTGCCTCTTGGTTTCACTTTTTCCTACCCCGCCACTCAGAACTACATCGACGAGGGTATTCTGCAGCGCTGGACCAAGGGTTTTGACATCGATGGCGTTGAGGGCAAGAACGTGGTGCCCCTGCTCGATGCTGCTCTGAAGAGCAAGGTAAGTGATCAAGATGGCATGAAATAGGGAACAAATCTAACGACAAGCAGGGTGTTCCTATCAAGCTTTCGGCCTTGATCAATGACACTACTGGTACTATGATCGCCTCGGCTTACACTGACACCAAGATGAAAATTGGCTGCATCTTCGGCACGGGCTGCAACGCTGCCTACATGGAGGACTGCGGCTCCATCCCAAAGCTGGCGCACATGAACCTGCCTGCCGATGCTCCTATGGCCATCAACTGCGAGTGGGGCGCCTTCGACAATGAGCACAAGGTCCTGCCGCGCACACCTTACGACATCATTATTGACCAGGACTCTCCTCGTCCCGGCCAGCAGGCCTTCGAGAAGATGATTGCTGGTCTCTATCTCGGCGAGATCTTCCGTCTCGTTCTCGTTGATGTTCACGAAAACAAGCCTGTTGATCTGTTCAAGGGCCAGGACATTTCCGCGTTGCGCAAGGCCTACTCGCTTGACTCTTCGTTCCTGTCTGCCATTGAGGAGTAAGTCTCTGCCTCATGAAACACATTTACAGCTGCTAATACGGATAGGGACCCCTTCGAGAACTTGTCGGAGACCCAGGATCTCTTCGCCGCCAAGCTCAACCTGAACCTTAACCGCGCTGAGCTTGAGTTCGTCCGCCGCCTTGCTGAGCTAGTCGGTACTCGCGCTGCCCGCCTCTCAGCCTGCGGTGTTGCTGCTATCTGCAAGAAGAAGAACTACGAGACTTGCCACGTTGGTGCCGACGGCTCCGTCTTCAACAAGTACCCTCACTTCAAGGAGCGCGGTGCCCTGGCGCTCCGCGAGATCCTCGACTGGCCCGAGAAGAAGAACCCGACTGACGAGGACCCTATCGAGATTCTGGCCGCCGAGGACGGTAGTGGTGTCGGTGCTGCGCTGATTGCCGCTCTCACACTGAAGCGCGTCCAGCAGGGCAACGTTGCCGGTATCCTGCACCCGGACAACTTCAAATAAGCACGAGAACACTGTAAAGAAAGGCGAAAAAGGACGTCCCGGGCTTCATGATGGGGCTGTGCACCGTCCGTGAACAGAGCTAGCTTAGACATCAAGACGGTCTTCTTCTAACGCACATGAAAACTATCCCTTTCTGGTTCTTGAAAGCCACACAAGACGCTAGACACGTCGCCACAGGCATCTAGCACATGAATGTGCATAACGGAGCCGGTACTCTGTGATCTC